ATGACTACTATAACCGTACCTTGTTATTTTCCCCTTATTCTACTTCTATGTCCCTTTTCAGCCCCATGGACAAAGAATATGAACTTTCTGCCTTTTTAAGAAGAATGCCTTCTGCTGCCCATCATTCTCTGTTCATGGAGAGGAAAGCCCAACATCGCCTTGGACATCCTCCCAGGGACCATACAGTTATATATTTATTTAGCAGTTACTTAAACAAATACCTCTGCATTAAGTTGAATTTTGTGATCTGTACATATGTACCTAAACATCCTTAAAGGGCATCAGATCCTGTTGGATTTTGGAAGTTAAGCAGACTCAGCCCTAACTTGTACATGCATGGGATAGGTCAACAAATACTACATGTGGTAGGCTGGCAGTACTTATGAGTTGAAGGCAGACACACCTCTTTACAACCGAAACAAACACCGTTGGTTACACAAGAGATAAATGAGTTTTGAAAAAGATGAGAAATAATTTTTATTGATATGAATTTCAACTCCTTTTTAAGTATATAGGCTTGTATGGGAAATACCCTGGAAACAGTGAGACAGGAAATTGAAGTCATTACCCATATTGAACAACTTCAGTTAACTTTGTATGTTTTGTTGTTATTCTGCATAGAAAGACCAATAGAAACTGTCCGTTGGTGGTTTAAAAACTGAGCTTAATCAAGTTGAGGGAAGCTGACTAGAAGCCTCTCTTTTGTGTGTGCACAAATAATGTGAACTCATAGGGGTATATTTAAATGGCAATAATTTAACATCATGCATATATAAATATCTGCTACCCCTGCTATCCATTTGCTCAAAGCATTCTCAGAATGTGGTAGATACAGTAATGAATAACAGCCCAAGGAATCTGTGCCAAGACTCTAGCGGCTTTTTCTCATTGTAGCTATCAAGATGTTAACCTTCTGTTTGGTAAACAAAAGATACACAAGCTCCTCTGCATGATTTCATTTCAGACTGTACTGGACATGAGAAGAAAGGGCCTGGTGGTGCCTGCAGCTGCTTCTTGCTTTTCTTTCCCATTTTTTCTCCAAAACGGTCCCGTTTCAGCTGTCTGTGTGGCCCTCACTGCAGCTGTTTATTTAAGCTGAGCCAAAATGCACTTTTCCAAAGTTGATTTATTAGTTAACCAAACAAGAGAGGCTGCACTGGAGAGAAATTTAGGGGAGTGCTGATATTAATCCTTTCAGGGTGTTTTTTTTATTTTTCAAAAGAAACCAGGAATTAGAGTTTGTACAACTAGAAGAGCAGAAAGCCTTCAGATCTTCCTTGCAGATGAATCCAGATTGTTCATATCTTGAAGATGTTTTAGACAACGTTCTTTCAAATCCTTCTGAACATGATGTACTTCAAATAGAGGAGGGGAAGACCAATAACCGAGGCATGCCTTAAAAGAGGCATCTTTGCCGAGCAAGTACAGTGCATAAGATAAGCATAGATGGCTTAAGTAAACAGTCTGCACCTACAGTAGAAGTGCGATGAGAACCTCAGAATCACTAACTTGCAAGAAGAATCTTTGCTCCAACTGTAGTTATCCAAAAATTCAGAATGCAATTTTTGTATCAATTTTTTGAACTGATATTAAAAAACAACTTAAGATCAAAAAGCTTTTCCAGGAACTCCGCAATTCCATTTACAACTCATTTATATGCACTAAAATGAGCCAGAGGGTTCTGCTAATCAGTGGTTCTCAACCTGGGGTCCCCAGATGGTTTTGGCCTTCAGCTCCCAGAAATCCTAAGAGCTGGTAAACTGGCTGGGATTTCTGGGAGTTGTAGGCCAAAAACATCTGGGGACCCCAGGTTGAGAACTACTGTGCTAGATTCTGCTTAACTGGCAGGGGAGTGGGGTTGTGTAAATTAAAGGAAAATGCATTGAGAGTTTTTACTTGCCTCTAACTAATAAATTAGTGTTGCATAATCGTGCTTTCTCAAGGATAGGGTCAGTAATCCAAGCCTCCATTATCTGAAAACCGTCTGATCCTAGTTCTAATTTATTGGTTATTGCTGAGTTGTCGTTGATTCATTCAGTCGCTTCCAACTCTTCGTGACCTCATGGACCAGCCCACACCAGAGCTCCCTGTTGGCCTTTGCCACCCCCAGCTCCTTCAAGGTCAAGCCAATCACTTCAAGGATACTATCCTGCCATCTTGCCCATGGTCTGCTCCTCTTCCTTTTTCCTTCCATTTTCCACAGCATCATTGTCTTCTCCAAGCTTTCCTGTCTTCTCATTATGTGGCCAAAGTACTTCATCTTTGCCTTTAATATCCTTCCCTCCAGTGTTTCCTGCAGTATGGACTGGTTGGATCTTCTTGCAGTCTAAGGCACTCTCAGAATTTTCCTCCAGCACCACAGTTCAAAAGCGTCTATCTTCCTTCGACCAGCCTTCCCTGTGTTTCAGCTCTCACATTCATAGGCTACTACGGGGAATACCATTGCTTTAACTATGTGGATCTTCATTGCCAGTGTGATGTCTCTACTCTTCACTATTTTATCGAGATTGGTCATTGTCTCTTTCCAAGAAGAAAACGTCTTCTGATTTCCTGACTGCAGTCTGTGTCTGCAGTAATCTTTGCACCTAGAAATACATTATTGCTGAGACTTGTTGCATTTTCAGCTCAAGTCAGAAGATCCCTGTAAAAACAAAGCAATTGTGGTGCGAAACAGCTATGCTGATCTTTCAGGCATATTTGTGGAGAATGAATGATAGAAGCAGTGGTTTGTCAGTTAAACTTGCCTGCAATATTAATGGGTCACTTTGCCACATGTAAGATGCATCTGATAATTACTCATATGATGGTGTTGTGTATTTCTTTTTTTTTCTTTTTTTTGTGTGCAGGCTTCAGGCTTGGGATGGCAGTTAAATTACAATTGTAAGGGAGGTTATGATTTATTTCAGAAACAGAGCACAGAGCACAGATAGTTCCAACCCTTCATCTACTCCAATTTTTAAGAAGGTGACACAGTTGAAATCATCTGTCCCAGATACTAGAGAACAACCCCTTCCAAACTGGCATCCTCTAGATGGGCTGGATTACAATTCTTATAATCTCTGCCAACATATTGGCTGGGGCAGTAAGAACTGTAGTCCAACACATCAACAGGATGCCATCTGAGAGAGGCTGTCTATCACAACTAATTGTTCCTAGCAAAATATTGTGCACAAGCAGTGTCCTGGTTCCTGACAATAAAAATGGAAATCCCTTTAAAAGGAAGCAGCACAAAGAATAACATGGTGCAATTCAGTTTACATTGGACAAACTATCTAACACATTGTTAATCCTAGGCATTAGTGACTTCATGCAGTGGCTGCCATTGCTGAATTCTTTCTGAATGAGATATTGCTGAATATCTTCTGTAGGCTCATCTACTTCCACTTTGATTTTGATTATGAAAGAAATGGATAATGGTGGAGTGGGTGGGAAGTATGCCATTGCATCACACATTCGCCAGTCTCAATTAAACAGATGCATTTTATCATTTATTCAAATGCAAACAAAAGTCTCATTTCCAGAACAAGTGCTCTGAATACTGGCTATATAGTAACAATGATCATCAACATAGATAGCCTCCAATGGCTAATGGGTTAAACCAGTGGTTCTCAATCTGTGGGTCTCCAGATGTTTTGGCCTACAACTCCCAGAAATCCTAACAGCTGGGATTTTGGGGAGTTGTAGGCCAAACACCTAGGGAACCACAGGTTGAGAACCACTGGGTTAACTGCTTGTGCTGGCAGGACTGCTGATCGACAGGTCATTGGGATGAATTCAGAGAGAGCGGGTTGAGCTCCCTCTGTCAGCTCTGGCTCCCCATGTGGGAACATGAGAGAAGCCTCTCACAAGGATGGTAAAACATCAAAACATCTGGGGGTCCCCTGGGCAACATCCTTGCAGACGGCCAATTTTCTCACACCTGTAGTGACTTGCTGTTTCTCAAGTTGCTCCTGACATTATCCTAGATAGCCTTTTTAAAAATGCAGAATTTTGAGTGAAAGAGAAAGTATATCCCTTTAATCCAAGAGGCAGCTAAAAAAAAAGGTGGGAAGTTGAAATATTGTTCCGAAATTATAGCTGACACATTGTAAAAAAAATGGTCTGAGTTGAAGATGATTCAGTCATGCCACTTGTTGAAGCAGCCAACATGATTAGCTAATTGTGAAAACAATATAAGCCTACTGTGGATCAGAAGCAGATTTCATAGTGTGAGGCAGTTCCCCCATTCTTAGTACTAAATTCTAGTGAGCTCAGCTGGGTTTATTTCTGAGTAGACATGTCTAGGATTGCATTACTGGTACCGAACAGAGCACAGGCCTAGTTATTTTTAGAAAAATATCACTAGATTCAGTGAAACAGGTCTGTTATGAATAGTTTTAGTGAGCCTGCTTTCAATATGATATGTAGAGAAAAGTGTAATATTGGGAACACAGAAAGATTTTTTTATTGTGTACATTATCTGTGTTGCCTGTACTCTCTGCCTGTGGTTCTTCAGGGTTTGGGAGAATGCTTCCCCAAACCAATCTGAATAATGGAAGAATTGAACCTGAAACCTTCTGCATACAGAGCAGGTTCTCTATCTCCGAGGTCTTCCATCTTGTTTGGCCTTCTTATTGTTGTACTAATTTTTCTTATTACAAAGAAGCAGCACCTGCCATTTGAGGTATTTGCTTTATTTAGCTAATAGTAGGACCAGTTTTGGGATTGCCAGATTGCCCCTGGAAGTCCTGGCTTGGACTTTGGTTAGTGGATGCCCAGCTGGAGCATGGAGATCTCTGTTGCTTCTTCGCCTCAGCCCAGGGCAGCTGTGAAGGAAATTGCTTGCAGGGATTTATTTATTTATTTATTTATTTGGAATGCTTGTATACCGCCAATATCTCAGCCTCTGCGGCGACTCATTGCGGTTTACAACATGTTAAAATATACAATTCACTTTAAGCATATAAAAATTAAAATTAAGAATACATACAAAAACATACATAGTATTGGGCCACCAATACAGATCGGGACATCTCATAGATAAAATCGTAATCCAGTTCGTTCTCCTTGATTGCTAATCCATGGTCAGCCAACATCACGTCGAAGATCAATTGAAGACTTGCTCGAACATCCAAGTTTTTAGTTTTTTCCTAAATGCCATTAGCGAGGTGGCTGATCTTAATTCAGTAGGGAGGGCATTCCAAAGCCACAGAAGCAGAATGGCTGAAATGTGTGTCTCTGATGCCGCTGGAGAATGAAGGCAGGGGCTGGCAGCACTGTGCCAAAAAGCAAAAACCAAGAAATTTAATTTTTTGATTACAACTGGCCATGCTATGTGGGGAATTTTGCAAATTCCACTAAAACAGTATGTTTTCCAACTTAACTTTTAGCATATGTGCATAGCTTATGCACCTTTTACATAGACTCTGAATCACACCTGAAACCTTTGACTTATGGTATGCTATGTCTAGCAGTTAAAATGGCATTTGTTTCTGTCTCATATTTCAAATACCTTGGTTGTTATCACTATATTGTCCCATGATAAATTATTCATCCTTTTACTACTTTTCCTTTCTAGTGATCCTCGCACGTAAAAGAAATATGAACCTTCTTTTCCTTGCATAACTAATTGTAGATACTTTTAGCACATTAACTCCACATCATAGAGTGATTATATATTCTGTGCCTTATTTTCCCTGAACTGCAAACTGTTCTCAGTAGCTGTAGATAATTTATTATTTACTGCATTTATATACCACTTTTCTCCCTCTGAGGGAACTCAAAATGGTTTTCAACATAATAAAGGCAAAATTCAATGCCGTACATACATGTGAAAACCAAAACATAATAGCTTGACAATATCATATAACTATAAATTAAAAACCTAACCATATTAAAACATAAAATAACATTTGGACATAAAACATAGAAAATTAAGCATTCATAATACAATATAGTAGAGTCTTACATATCCAACATAAACGAACCGGCAAAACGTTGGATGAGCGAAAATGTTGGATAATAGGGAGGGATTAAGGAAAAGCCTATTAAACATCAAATTACATTATGATTTTACAAATTAAGCACCAAAACATCATGTTTTACAAAAAATCAACAGAAAAAGCAGTTCAATACATGATAATGTTATGTAGTAATTACTGTATTTACGAATTTAGCACCAAAACATCGCAGTGTATTGAAACAGCTGTGGATCTGGGCAGGAAGCAGACTGTGTTGGATAATACAGAATGTTGGATGAGCGAAGGTTGGAGAAGCAAGATTCTACTATAACATTTATATTAAAACCCACCTGTAAACAACACAATTTTAAAACAGTTATTAAAATCAAGCCATCCAAAATCAAATCCATAGTCGTTCCATTGGTCCATTCCTTATTCTTTTATTCACTGAAAACTTTGCTGTCCAGAACCTTGGTCACATATCCATGTTTTTACTTTCTTCCTGAAGGTCAAAAGGGAGGGGGCTGCTCTAATTTCTCTAGGGAGTTAGTTCCATAGCTGAGGAGCCACCACTGAGAAGGCCCTGTCTCTCTTCCCCACCAGTCACGCAAGTGAGGCGGAATCGAGAGTAGAGCCTCCCCAGAAGATCTTAATCTCCGAGGTGGATAATAGAAGGAGATATGTTTGAACAGGTAAGCTGGACAAGAACCGTTTAGGACTTTATAGGACTTTGAAATGTGCTCAGTAGCAGACTGGCAGTCAGTAGAGCTAGCGTAACAAGGGAGTTGTATGTACCCTGTACGCTTATTACTCCCAACAACTAGCTGTTTTCCACGTTTGAAAAATTTACCCGTTGGGTCAGGATTTATCTATTCTGTTGGTCTGCCAGCATTTTTATGAGCCTCCTTGAGTCCCATTTTTAGAGAAAAGTTGGGATATAAATAAAATTAACAATAATAACTGTGGTGGGAGCATTCCCCCTGGCCCCCGGTGTACCCTTGAATTTCCTTTGGAAGAATGGAAGCCATCCAGTGCAGATTTTTGAGCTTTGCTGCAGGAAGGGGGAAAGGGGATATTTCTGTTGTGGTAGATGAAGTGGCAGAGGTGTCTCTAGATAATTTTTAATGGTAAGCAAACAGTATTTTGCCCTCCTCCCCCGCCCTCCCAACCAATCACTAATATATATTTTCTGTTCATTGTGGGAGTTCTGTGTGCCGTATTTGGTTCAATTCCATCATTGGTGGAGTTCAGAATGCTCTTTGATTGTAGGTGAACTATACATTCCAGTAACTACAACTCGCATATGTCAAGGTCTATTTTCCCCCAAGAGCTCCTCAAGAGCGCCCCTGGGCAAAATCAACTATAGTGCAAATGCTTACTTTGCGTAATGGTTGAGCCGCCCCTGTGAAGTGGACTAGTGCAGTGTTAAAGTTAACTCTGTTTCCTAAACCAAGGTTCTTATTAAACTCTTCACCTCCTTTATGACATGAGTGAAGTCAAAATAGACTATTATTGCAGTTCCTTCCTCCTAGTTTATTATTAAAACGGGACATGCTGAGAGGATTTGCTGTTTTGGCAACTGATACGTTATCTTTCAGCTTTTGTTATTTACAGAGGGTGTGTTTGCTCCACATGCCCATCAGTCTGCCTGAAAGTGATGCTGCATGTCTTTTAATTTCTGCCAGAGGTCACATTGCAAACTGAACTAGCTCTTTGCTTTAACTGTCTTTTAGTGTATCCGGAGGCTGGGGCGTGTTTATTGCTTTTCTTAAATTAAGAAGACGTATCCCTAATAAAACGTTACTTTCTGTTAACCAGTATCATGTTAGTTTGTACTCTCACATTTATAGATTTATGCTCAGACCATGATTATCCATCCACTAATCATGCCCACTTTGGGATATTTTAGTGCTGTGGAGAAACTCAGTATGTGCACGGGTGTCATTCCAGACACTCCTGCACATCAATGCTTTTTGTGTGGAACTGCTTCCACATGGTGTCATTTTAAGTAGCAGCAGCCACCCAACAACTTGTTTGTTTAATTATGTTTTACCCACTCTTGGGGCAAGGAATGCAGACTCAACATATGTTTTCCAGATGTCTTCTTACCAGGCCAAAACTTCAAATCATAGAGTTGGAAGAGACCACATGGAACATCCAGTCCAAACCCCTGTCATGCAAAAAAAGCACAACCAAAGCCCCTCTGACTGTAACAGAATCAAAGTGGGTTAGGGGAAGGTATATTGTAGCGACATGCCTGTTTTGTCTCCTGAAGCAGGATCTTGCCATTATTTCAACAACATATGCATATTCTGCTAGGGAGTTTATAAACATTTATAAGTTGTGGGTTCTCAGTTTTGGCAGGAAGGTTATTGAATTTGCCCACATACAGGATGAGGGCAAGTTACTTTTCCCATTAGCTATCAGACATCCTTAAATGTAAAGATTCTTACAAGCTCAAATGTACTTAGAAGTACCATCCATGCGTTATGTAGCTTACACCCAAATAAATAAGTACAATTGACTCTAGATATCCTTTATTGCTTCTAGGAGGTCCAATAACAATAGCTGTTATAATGTTTCTTAATACTTCTTAATGCTTAGTTTAATATGCTTCTGATTTATAATTCCTGAGGGGGCTGAACCATATAAGAGTCATGGTGGTCTAATTTAGCTGGATCATTTCAAGGAGAGCTGCACCCCCTCCTAGCCTAATATTAGGAAGGACGTCAGCCCCAACATTCCAATGTCTATGTTTTATTGGGTTCATATGAAATTGTCAATTGTGTTGTTACTACAGAATGTAGCCTCAGCCTGGTGCATTTGAACAGGCTAGAGAATGTTGTGAATGGAGATGGTGACGATTCACTGTAGAAGTTAAATAAGTAGAGAAGGTGGTGAAAGGCTAATAGGCATAGAGAAAGGCAGAGCTACTCAACATCTTCTTAGTCTCAGTCTTCTCCCAAAAGGAAATCAGTGTTCAACCTGAGCAATATGGAGTGGACGAGACAATAGTGAAATTGCAATCTAAAATAGGTTAAATAGTTGTCAAAGAATACCAGGCTATTCTAAATAAATTCATCTCCAGGGCCAAATGAACTACATCCAAGAGTACTGAAGGAACTAGCAAAATTAATTTTGCTACCACTGGCAATAATCTTTGAGAATTCGTAGAAAGTCCTAGCAGACTGGAGAAGGGCAAACGTCCCTCTTCAAGAAGCGGAAAAATTAGGACCTAAACAATTATTGTCCAATCAACCTGACATCAATACAAGGAAAAATTCTGGAGCAGATCATTAAAGATCCAGCCTATAATCACTTAAAAAAGAATGCTAATAGGAGGTTGTATGCTCCCTGTATGCCACTCAGGTGAGCAGTTTGGCTGCTGCTCGTTGGACCACATGAAACTTCCAAACAGTCTTCAAAGGCAACCCCATGTAGAGTGTGCTGCAGAAGTTTTTTCAGGATGTAACCAGAGATTGGACTACCATGGCCAGGCCCACAGCCAGGATTTTGATTCGGGGAGCTGAGTTTGATTCAGGGGGAGGGGGGGCTGAGTCTGAGTGAAAGAGGGTCTATCCTAGCAAACCTTTTGTATCATTACCCTAATACCCCCATGCATATGGGATATATGGAGCATGGTGATCAGATCATGATATGAATAAACATAACAGTTTAAATAATGTACCAGTAAGGCCTTCTCACAGACCACCATGAGAATTTGGGGGGGGGGGGGCTGAAGCCCCTCCAAACCCCCCCCCCCCAGCTACATGCTTGACCATGGCCAAGTATGGCTTTCCAAGGTATGGGTGCAACTGGCGCACAAGTTTTAAATGTGCAAAAGCTCTCCTAGCCCCTGCCGAGACAGGTTCCAGGCACATTGGTTTTAGTGGTGTTTACTCCCAGGGAGCTTTAGATAGGACTGCATCCTAGGATGCTTTTATTTCATCTTTGTTGTCATGGACTGCAGCCACTAATGTGTGATTTTCAAGTGAGAATTTGAATGGATGGGTGTGGTTGGAGTTTCTGTGAAGCTTGTAAAGCTTTTGACAAACAACTGCTGAGTTGGATGGTGAGGAACTGATACTGTAAGTACAGGACTGCTGCAGGACATTAATCACTCTCCTGAGGTTAAAAGGTTGGAAAGTCTCCAGCAGACAAGCCCATGTTAGAACTATTAAATGTTGATTTAGATCTCTGCTCAAAACTTGGATTGTTTTCAGAGATCATGGGGCTAGTGTTAAGCCTTTCCCCTCTTAGTCAGTACTAACTTTCTCTCCCTCTCCCTGTGTCTTCCTTTTTTCTCTGTAGGTATGTGATGTCAAACCAGTAGGCAGTCTCAATGGAGCCTCCCACACACTGCTGGAACGTCATGTGCCAGTATGAATATTAACACAGCCACACACACTTCAGCACTCTGCAACCAAAGAAGAGAAAAAGAGAAACTAAATGTTTGGAATCAGTGAGTGGACTGCTTGCAAAACTTTGCCTGTCTAACATCTACTAAGAATACCTGCCATTTCTGGAGAAGAGTGGAACAGAAACAGGATCTTCCTTTTCCTCTAACTTGAGAAAAGGAGAGTGAATTTTCCAATTCTTTTTTACCTTGGATTTCAAGCTCTCCGTTGCCGTGGCCGCGATCGCTGGACAGCAATATGTGTCATGTCATTGTCACCTGCCGTTCAATGCTGTGGACACTCCTGAGTATTGTTGTAGCTTTTGCCGAGCTCATAGCTTTCATGAGCGCTGATTGGCTGATTGGCAAAGCTAAACCTGGACGTCCTGAGGACTTGAATGACTGGACAGGGGAACCATATCGTCCCACCCTAGGGATCTATGGACGGTGCACCAGAATCCCGCACATGCAGTCTTCCCTTCCTGATACGCTTTGTGGCCCCTATGCTGAGAACTTCAGTGAGATCGCCAGTGGGTTCTGGCAAGCAACTGCTATTTTCCTTGCCATGGGGATTATGATACTCTGTGCTGTTGCATTTGTATCAGTCTTCACTATGTGTGTACAGAGTATTATGAAGAAAAGTATTTTTAATGTCTGTGGATTGCTACAAGGGATTGCAGGTAGGTGTGACCATGGTTATCTGAATCTCCTTTTATTTAGTATGCTTATTTTCTATAGATAACAAAGCCATTTTCTTTTCTAGGTATTATCCTGTTCTAGTTGACCTCTTCTAAAATCAGAAAAAAATCCAATATAAATAAAAATTATGTGTTGCCCAGATAAATCATATCTGATACATCAATGGAAAAGTGAACTACTTGTTCTGTAATTGTTTTAGGGAGGAATATTTGGAATCAATGGAGAAAAATGGGTAATTTTTCTATTGGCATGTTCTCTGTTTCGTGTATGATTTATTACAAGAAGCAAAACTCATTTATCTATGTTGCATTGATCAGAAAACAAACATGCACGTGTCCTTGACCAGTTCAGTTAAAACATAGCCAAATTTGGTTATGAGAAGAGGGAAGAATTTGGACTGTTACTGTTATTGCTTATGAGTGTTATGGGAACCCCACACTGCAGTGTAAGTGATTTCTTTAAAATGATGTCTTCCAGTTTTTAGGCCTGAGACCCATAAACTGTAATATGGGATTGCTCTGTTTTAATGTTTTTGAATGGCCGGTCATGTCATTCATCTGTTTGAAATGTGATGACAAACAATGGTCAAAATCCTGCATCAGAATTGTAATTATGATGATGGAGCTCCATCATCATAGTTTTGACCGATGATTCCACCCCACACTTACGTTTGCAGCCTGGCAGTGCCTCGAATGCAGGATTTCTGAGGTACTGGAGATTGGGGGGCTGAGAAATTATATCCACGGTGTGCTCCTGGTTGCTGGGTGCCTTGAGAACAGTAAGTGGAGACATCCTTCCGGATCCTGCCAGAAATGCTTGTCCCAAGGGACCCTGTCACTGCGAGCATATATCAAAAGTAATTTCTAATGCCCCAATTTCCAACTCCTTGGAAATGATTTGGCCAAGGGACTCTCAGGCTGGTTGTAGGTCATGTTCAGGTATTCATAACTATATGAATCCCTAGAGGTTACAATATTGTACAATATTCAGTGGGGTTAGGAGTGCATGACTTCCAAAGAAGTGGGAAAACCACAGATACAGAAGCACTATGTTTTTATTTGAGAGAACACTTTCTAGAAATCTTTAATTGTGGGTCCCCAGGTGTTTTGGCCTACAACTTCCAGAATTCCCAGCCAGTTTACCAGCTGTTAGGATTTCTGGGAGTTGAAGGCCAAAACATCTGAGGACCCACAGATTGAGAACCACTGAAAGAACATTTCAATCAATTCTATGAACAATTAAAGCTGCAAAGGTCAAACCCGCAAATGTGGTGTGTAACTGTTGAACAGGATGCCAGCCAGTGGTTTAATAATAAAAGAATAGGGCTTTAGGGATATCTTTGTTAGATGTTCCCTGGTCACTCAGAGATTATACATTTATCTCCCTAGTTTGAGTCAAAACTATGGACTGATGGAACACGTGAACCAGCACACTATGATTTGCATTTGGGAACCATGTTTTTTTCTTGGTTCCAGTGCAAGGTTAGCAAGACTATCATCAATACTTTTCTAGTATGGAAAAAAATGGCAAACTGGAATAGAGGGAAGAAACTGCTGAGAAATGGGTATCACTGAAGTTTATAAATATTGAAATGAACCTGAAGATAGTTGAAAGTCTTATCACATCAAGCCAAAGCATGATTTGGCATTATAAATAGCACAGCAAAGTGTCATTATTTCTGTAGTCCTTCTTCCAACCTGATTTTAATTTTTGTTTTTAAAAAACCTGAACAGAAAAGGAGGCAAAATTATGTTTCCCAAATCCATTGTAAATCAGATGGTCAACTACTGGATCGCCACAGTTCCAGTTTTATGCTGCCTCCTTATGGCGATTTTACAAATTTGCTTCCTGTAACACAAGTAGCCTACATTTCTTTTAAGTGCAGTTTGTCATAAATGGAAACCAGCCTCCCAATTTTTGAAATGTTACCTTCTCTTGTGACTAGAGCATTCGTAAGCTTGAAATGACTGTACTGGGTTCATTAGAGCTTTGTCTGGGTAGCATTACTTTGACTGGATTATTGCCAGCGTTCAGCTGATGACGTGCTGTACCTCTGATGCATGGTTTTTCCCATTTCTGGTCTTGCAAACCGCTTAAGCAAGTGTTCTCAGAGTCTGCCAGCATGGCTGTAAGCAGATAGGGCAATAAAAACCTCTCACTTTTGGATTCACTTTTAGCTTGCTGACAGATTCTGTTTTTCTAGGTTGTTTCTATGAAGTGCAAATATTTCTTAAACGAGCTGTGGTTTTGTATTCTTTTATTATTTGTTTGGAAAATTGTATGCTTTCCCCACTAAACTTATTTATTTATTTACAACATTTATAGCCCGCCTTTCTCAACCCTAAGATGACTCAAGGTGGGTTACAGATTGGCAACAATTTGATGCCATGCATTCATAAAAATACGATTAAAACAATCAACATAACAATATAAAATCCATTAAAACATGTAGTCACCAGTGTCGTCCGGTTAAAATTGTTTTCTAATAGCATCATTTGGCCATTCCATGTTCATTATTCATAGTTTGGTCATCTTAATTTTTATTATGAGCCACAGAATGGGCATTCCAAAAAAAAGACAGGGCTTGTGCTTTTCTACTCTGCTGCTGAGTACGCATGCCCAGTGTGTAACACATCTCACCATGCTAAAACAGTGGATGTGGCTCTTAAAGAGACATGCTGCATTATCACAGGATGTCTGCACCCTGCACCACAGGAGAAATTATACTGTTTAGCTGATATTGCACCACCTGACATCTGCCGGGAAGTATTTATTTATTTATTTATTTATTTTCGGTATTTCTATCCCGTTCCTTCTGAACCCCCGAAGGGGGACTCAGGACAGCTTACATTTGGCAGCAATTTGATGCCACTACATATAACACAGCAATATAATAACAATTAAAACAATAAGTAAAACATTCATTAAAACAGTAAAAAACAGTATTAATAGCTGTAACATCATTCCAGTCAATTCCATATCCAATTCATGTCCAAAGTGCTATCTATGTCGGTTGTCCAAAAACCTGGTCCCAGAACCATGACTTCAATTTCTTCCTAAATGACAGGAGGGACAAAGCCGATCTCACCTCAGTGGGAAGTGAATTCCACTGGCAGAGGGCCACAGCTGAGAAGGCCCTGTCTCTCGTCCCCACCAGACGTATTTGTGACGCTGGCAGGAGCGAGAGCAGGGCCTCCCCGGATGATCTTAATCTGCGAGGAAGGACGTAGAGGGAGATGCGTTCAGACAAGTAAGCTGGGCCAGAACCATACAGGGCTTTATAGGTCAAAACCAGCACTTTGAATTGAGCTCGGAAGTGGACCAGCAGCCAGTGGAAGTGACATAACAAGGGGGTGGTATACTCCCTGTATGTCGCTCCAGGTAGCAATCTGGCTGCCACCCGTTGGACTAGTTGTAATTTCCAAACAGTTTTCAAAGGAGACCCCATGTAGAGTGCATTGCAGTAAATAGATTAATGAAAGGAGCAAGGCAGTGACATCTCCAGCCCATCCTCTGTTCGGATATCAGCCAGCATGCCAATGCCTTAAATCAAGAAATAGTTTTCTAAGATCTACAGATACTTGCGGGAACACCTCAGCAAGTGAGAGTCCAAAATTGGCACACTGAAACTCAAAACCTGAAGCCAAGACTGATACCAAATGAGAGACTCCCCCCCCCCCCCTGGGCACACAGAAGACTGGGCAACTTGGATGGTGCTGAACAGACTGTGCTTTGGCACCATGAGATGCAGAGCCAATCTGAAGAAATGGGGCCACATGAGAGTGTGGACAAGAGCAAACCACAGACCACTTATTATAATGCAGCCTGAGCCCTGCCACATGCACAATGGAGGACCTTCAAGGACTCCAAGTGGCCAGCTACTGGTCAAAGGACATTTATTATAATGCCAAGGGTTTTTTTTACCTTTGTGTTTTTAAATACATTTCAACTGTACCCTTGATTTGCTTCTGATACGATAAATAAATAAATCAACAGGGCAGAATTCCATATTTGATCAGAAATAATTCCCATGGATTACAGAGCTGGTTATTCCCTAACAATTTCCTGATGAAATTGTTGTGCAAGATTTCTTGGAAAACCTTGATAAATATCTGTGATTAATGCTTAATATGTTCCTGGGTTGTTCCGTGTGTGTTTGTGTAAAACCATACTCCCATTGTTGAATCTTTCCTCTATTTCTTAAGCTGTGACTTTGGAAAAAGAATTTCAGTTCTGTACAGATGCTTCTGTTCTTTTCAGGTTGCCGTCCAAGACCTTTTTCTGGATGAACAATGTAAATCTGCCAGGTCACAGTGAGCCCACACACCATCTTGGTCTAAACTGCCTTTGAGTCTGTCTATATATAATCTGTCCTCTTGATTTAAAAGTTCCTCTTTGAATTCTTGCTTTTTTTAGTGCTTACAGTTCCCCTTTTTGTTGTTGGAAGTGGGGAAGCTGTAATCTTCATTTTGTAAACATTTAGAACCCAGACTGTTAAGGAAAAAACCCATGCCTTCAGCTTCAAAGGACTCAAGCGCAATTGGACCATATCATTAGATCAGTAATTGCTGCTTTACACACAAAAGAAGAATGGACAGGCTTTCATTTCAGCATCTTTTGGGAGTGTGTGAACTATTTTAAGACGTCCCTGAATCACTTGGAAAATTTGGCATAAGGACTTTTGTTCTTAAGGTACTAATAAGAAATTAATTTTAAGAGGATTGATTGTAATAATAGCCTCCTCTTTCCAGCCTGTCAATTTCTGCAGCATGGTTATTATCAGTATTGCTTGGAACAACCTTCAGCTATTCAGTTTTTTTTGCTAGATTTATACTAGAAATGTATCTAGGTGCAAAGATTACTGCAGATGCAGACTGTAGCCAGGAAATCAGAAGACGCTTACTTCTTGGGAGGAGAGCAATGTCCAATCTCGATAAAATAGTAAAGAGTAGAGACATCACACTGGCAACAAAGATCCGCC